ACAGTGCTTCCTCCATCGCCGAAAAATGCCTCAGTAAGAGGGTATCAAGACTTGTCCGTTAGGATTTCTAGACTGCCCTTCTTTTCACCTTGGATGTGGCGGATGGTCTGTCAAACTAACTAACTAACTTGTTTGCCGTCTGATAATTCGACTCTGTCTCACCGAACTTCTTCCGGAATGGGTTTTAGATTTCGCTATTGCTTTCTCTGCCACCGTCTGCGGTTCTACATACCGCATGCGAGTTGAAGCCTGTTTGCTTCCAGGCCATCTCTTGTCGGCAGCTTTCTTGTCTATGACAGCCATTTTTACTATTTACCGGCAAGTTCGTTTCTGACTTCCATGCAAGAGTTTAACCCGTTTGAAACCGCAGCATTCAGCGGCAGTCCCGAGTAAACCGCTCTTAAAGAGCTTCCACTAGGTTTCCATATCAGCGGTGGAATCTTTTTAACCCGTCATGCGATGTTGCTTGCAAGTTTCGCCCTCGTATCCGCCGAGGATGATGCTTTCCATTTGATTCTGTGGTTGCTTCTGCTGTCAGATCTTCGCACTCCGTCTCTCGCAGCGTAGCATATGAAAAACAATGTGATGATTGGTGATGTCTTTGCGCCTCTCTTAACTCGAACATCTATTACAGAGCGTGGTAAGTTAGATGATACGAGTATTAAATCGATCACCGGCTTCTGTTCACAAGCTTCCCTATGCCAGGTATGCTGATGCAAGTTTCGATGCTCGAAGATGTTCACAACAGTCCGCTGTTTGCACAAAACCGCAACAACTCCGTGTCGCTTTTGTTGATGACGCTAGGATCATTTTTCCATTCAAGCCGTTTCACTCTTCAGCGTTTACTCTGACCTCACATTAAAATCGCCCATGAGTATGAAGGACTCCGTATTCGGCACTTCGTACAGTGCACACTGCATTTCCTCAAGGAGGGAATCATATTCTCCCTCTAAATTGGGCGCATGAACTTGTGAAAGGGTCAAAGCTTTAGTTTGCGTTATAGGTTCAGTCAAAAGATTGCCACTCTTTCGTTAACAGGCTTCAATTCAATGATTCTAGTAGCGAGGTTGG